TCATAACAAGCTACCGTATAAATGTGCCACCTGTGGTTGGCATCTCTGGTATCCTGTCTGAGACAGATTACTGAATGTCTTATCATGCCGCACAGCTGCCCGAACCTAATACCTTGTTCTCCAACTACGGTTCATCGATCGCAAGACACAAAGTCTGGGGAATTAAAAACCAGTGTTGCAGGAGCCAACTGGCACTGGGGCGATTTTGAACTACTCGTCTCTCCATCCGAAGTCAGTATTTGCTAGTACTGTTTCAACAATATTCGTTCCAGCAAAGGCCATGTGCACAAAATTTGATCGGAGAGAGAGAGCGAGAGAGATTGAAGGAAAGAACAAACTTCGGAGTATTGGTTATCTATCTAGTTTGATCAGGCGTCAGTTTAGAGGGGTGGTGATACCCAATAGGAAGTGGATTGGGACTGTTTTTATCCCATACAAAACAGGGACGTCCGAAGTAATTCGAGGGATTCAAAACAACACCAGTATAAAAGTAGGTTTCCAGAGGGGAAACGCTTTGCGCTCTACACTGGTTTACTTGAAGGATCGTATGCCGGCGGACATAACCAGAGACTTTATCTACAGAATTAATTCTGACGACGCATATGAACATCGAGCGTTACTGAAGGACTCAGCAATGGTGGAACATGCACTGGACGCGGAATAGAAAATGTTGAAGTTCTGAAGCAGAGACCACGGTTCACGCCACACAGACTGATAGCCGAGCTGGTGGTAATGGCCATGCATTCCATTGTAAAAAGAACAGAGCGCGTGGGACTGGCAAGCATGGGGAGAACGGCTTTCGATCAGTGTAGCTGATGCGTGGTGGTGTGCGGTAATCAGAAAGACGACTCACAAACAGAAGTAGCCTAGATCTGAAATATATCATTTGGTAGGCATATATTGCAACGTCTCCAAAAATTCATAGGTGGGATCATGCGTACTCCATCCGGCGAACCGTGTGGACAGTGCCCATTTTATTCGTAGTCACCATTCCCTGATCCAAAACACAGCTCTTCCACCACTACGTTTACTCTACTCTAAACTGGATACAGAAAACAGCACTCTTTCCGGAAAATGATGATTCGACATTCGCAACACATGATCAGACCACCGCAGATTCTGGTGATGGACATATTCTTTGACAAAAGTCCCTGTTGCGCAAGTGACCACCCATTTTCTCACCACCTCGTTGAAA